CTGCAGCTTCCAACTTCTGACAAGTCTCAAGCCACCAGTCATCAGCCTCAACTGCTAGCATATGAGTCCCATACCGAACCTTCTGCGCTGGAGTGCAGTCCATCACACGGAAGATTCTCTCAATCTCTTTCAACCACTCCAATGCTCCGTCAGGATCATACTTTCCCTTGAACGTAGGTGGATTCTCTCTCTGGAAAGTCGCCAAGCTACGAGATCCAGCATTCCCGTCAGCATTCGGCTGATTTTCCATTGCATGAGCCATTTCTTCTAAAGCAGCAGCAAGTGCAGCATCATTCCTTCCAGCCATCTCAACTTCCCACTATAACATAAACAACGGTTAGAACTCAAATTAACAATACTCGATTGTTAGACAACTATGACTCGACGACAAGGTCAGACCAACCTTTTGCTCTGATACCAACTTTGTAACACCCCAATTCTACCCCGACAAATTATATAAATAAATCAGAGTTATAAAAATCATTCATGCAAACGAATCAGGATGCCAAAAATTCTTCTATCAAAATTCATTGCATTCATCGTGGATATATAACATTTTTAAAACATCGGATGAACCATCATCATAACATCTTTAGTTAAATAATTCAACATCTACGCAGCGGAATTCTTAATAACATCTCTGTCATCATTATAGCAACTTCAAACCAACAAATACTTAATAATAATCAACTTAAAGTTCAACAACTGAATAATCAACAATCAAAAGCAACAAGCATTCATCCCTCCGAGTGTTATATATCAGAGCAATGACACCGACTAAACTATTGAAGGTATACAGTCTTCACTCTCGATTACCTGCATGTTACCAATATAAGGGCAACATTCAAACAGAAGGGGTGAGATATCTAACAATATAATAAAGCGCATGATAATTAATATATTAAATTAGATCACACAACACCACCACTTCTCATCTCAAAATCAACAATAGTCATAATATATTCACCACATCAATACCCACTTCTTTATGCAGTCATATAATGCGACTCAATACTATGCAAATGCATGTGGTACCATTTGGAGCAGAACTCCCATCTCAAAAATTTGCCAATTAATAGAGGCATCAACAAGGCATAAGCCTTCATCTCAATATTAGCCAATAAAGGCCATCTCAACGAGCATAAGCTCCATCTCAGAATGCAATGTATGTGACACAATCATGAATGTAATAACAACGTCACAATTAATAACATCTCAATACAATATCATCGTTGGCCAAAGGCCTACATCTCAAAAGCATCTCAACATCTCTTCATCAAACATCGCATATCATTCATAATAATTCATCAAACATCATTTATTCATCATAAATTATCAACACAACATCATTAATAACGTCTCATCAACAACTCAGTTGTACGTTAATACGACATTAATTCACACTGCTATTTTGTAATCTTACATCATTACTATCATTACTCCTACTGTTACAGATCAAACAGCAGCCTATAAACATTTCATCCTCATCATTCTACATAAAAACCAACATAACGATCAACACGGGAACCAACTCTAAATCCTAAATTGGCTACTAGGATTACACTCCCTATTCTTCATTTTAATCCTCTAGAATAAAACTCATCGCGTTAGCTATTCAACGCTTCGAACGACATCTCAAACGGCATCCTAAAACTCAAGTTACAGCCTTTCTAAACGATTCTGCCAAAAACCAGACAACATTGGTCGATGAAAAACCTCTTGGATCAACGCGTACTGCGCCAAACTCGCAACATGAGTCGACACATCCTCTCTTGGATCGACTCATCCTGGGTCTAACACACAGCATGTATCGACACATGCTCCAATGGATTGACTCATCCTGAGTCTAAAAGCACTCATGTATCGACGCAAGGCCCTTCGTGTCGACTCATCCTGAGTCTCTCAATGTTCTTGTATCGACACATAGCATTTGGGGTCGACGCATCCTGTTACATCCTGCATAAATTCTACAATTTCTCTGAGTTTTCACTACGGGTTTCATATTTTAGGCCCTAAAAACTTAATCAAATCATAGGTAACCATTACTTACAGATGCCTTATAATTCTACGTCAATTAAACAGCTTCGGAACATCGTTATTCATCTATAATTCATCAATTTCACATCGTACAACATTATAAACATTCCATTCAAGAACAAGACAACAATCACCTCTAACCCCACATACTAATCATCATGAACCCAATTATAGAGTCAGAACCCCGCCCTTACCTTGGATTGAAGGTCGCTCTACAATCTTTTGGTCGAAACCTCGTTATGTCGTTTTCCTCTTTTTCCAACAGCTTCACGTTCTTCTTCTCAATCCTTATTCTTCTACTGCCTCCTCTTTTCTATTCTTTCTAGCAACAATAAAATAACCTATTATTCTTTATTCCTTATTGTGCTTAAAACTAATACACCCCCTTATTACTACTTCTGTTCCTTAAAAACAAGCCCACATCAAATAATATTATACTTCTAATATTATTTCACCACTTAATAAAATAATTAAATCTAATTAATCACAACACATCTTCTCAAATATTCCAAAAATAATTTAATTAAATAATGAATTAAATTACGAGCGTTACATCAACCGTAAAGCATCCAACGACTCTCTGCAATTCACTCCTAACTAATATCAAGTTAGTTATTTCATCTCTACTATATATAGAGAATGCACCAAAATCAGGTGACAAGTTTCAAATAGAATTTCATTTCACTCTTCTTCTTCATATACTGACTTGAGCGTTTGAGTGCTAATCTTATAAGTCCCCTCACTCCACTGCATCTAAATTCGCGATTCACCATCATCGACGTTCACCTTCTCATTTTTGGTTCCTTAATAGAATATGCCTAATGGTAGACGTCAATGTTCTTGCACGCACTTACAAGATAGATTTCTTAATCAGATGATGTGATATATGTGTAACTTGTTGTATTGTTGCAATCTTCACTCCTACTTTGTGTACCACGATATCTCTAGATATGGGGTACCTGCAAAATATATTTTGATGCCTAAGTTATGTTATGTGCTAGCACGTAGCTAGTGAGTAGATTACTTAAGTGATCATACCTGGGGCAAGACCATAATTTTTGAGTGGTTGAAGTTGTTTTTTCTCCTCGCAATTTTTATTTTCACTAAGGTGATCTCATTGGTCCTTATCGGATAAGTATGAGTTTCTTAATGTAATAGATTCTGAGATAGATGGTGAAACATATTTGTTTTAATATAGAGTTGTGTGAGCATGCCCACTTGATTCTTCAGAAACTGTTGCAAGTGCTATCATTTATGATTTCAAAATAAATTGCACCATAAATAGTTTGTTTCTTAGATTTCCAAGAGATTTCTCTTCTAGTTATGTTAAATATGTAACAATTTACTCCTTTGAAATCATCACACAAGATTATTCAATAAACATCATTGTACCCTCTAGATATCAGGAAACTTTTGATAATGTAATATATAAGGTGCATGGTCTTATTTTGGTACGTCATGACTCTTTCAATAACATGTCAATACTAGGCCTTCTGGTAAATCGGCGTAACAATTCTACAACATAGATAATGTCAGGTCTTGTATAATCAGTGACATAGCTGGGATTGTCTATGATGCTCTCTTATTCAGTTTCTTTTACGTTATCACCAATATTTTTGAATAGTTTAACACTTGAATCATATTGTGTGCAAGTAGAGTTACGGTCAAAATAATTTTATTTCTTTAAAGATCTTTTCAACGTTGTGAGATTGGTCCAAGAAAATTCTCTTTTCTAACCTAAGAATCTTATTACAATGGATTGCATTTGCTTCATAAAATTTTTCATATCAAAGTCGTTACATGATCGTAATTTCACATTATTTACGAATTGAATGCTTGAACTAAATTTGAGAATTTGTCTACATAAAAATATGGTAATGCATATATCATGTTAAGACTTGTAGTAAGTGTATTTGTCACTTACATTCCTTTAAACTCGCTTGAGATAATCACATTGTTAAAATTTTCATGACCATAAAAAGATTTATCTAACTTAAATATCTTATTTTCTTATTCATAAACATTAAAAAATCCTCGAGTGTATTTTTTCAAGTCGTCATTAAAAAAAACAATTTTAACATTTATTTGGAGTACCTCTAAATTATGAATAGTAACTAGTACACTGAGTACCTAAATGGATATTATCTACGTAACTTATGAAAACAAAGCTTTTCAGAGATTTATCTAATTCTCCCCCCAATGTAAAGAGCGAATAGTCAGATCTCATAATCTTTAGCAATTTTTATCACTTCTCCGAAGCTTTTGTTTCTAATTGTCCATTAATTTCATTTCTTATGTGAAAGGTTATACTAGAAACAAAATACATTTGACATAACCAAACATTGGCCGCATGTATAGTGTAAAATTTTATCATCGAATACATTGTTCACAAAATCTCTAAACTCCATAATGCACATTCCAAGGATGTTACCTCCACTTAATTAACACTAGAAATCTCCTATGTGAGAGACTCGATAGAATTTCAATTCACAACAACACATACATTTAACACATTATTGACATCTCATTTATTCCAACAACCACCGTTCCAATGCTATATATAATAAAAAAGTAATATAACTGCCTAAAGAGCAGCCCATATGATATAGTATCTACTTATTCAAGGACCTATTCAAGGTACTCTCATCTATCTAAGCAATAAATAATAAACAAACATCATAGATTGCAAGTCTTTTGAAATTTAAATTTGTAGGCAAAGAAAACACTAGTACATCTGAAGTGCCAGAACCTAAAAGACTAGACGAGAAACTTAATTTAAAAGGACATAAAAAAACTGACTAGAAAATAACTAAAAGGCAAGAAATGAGAGGGGGAGTGAGCAGCGAGCAGCAAGAGGTTCAACGTTGTGAAACGGTGGGGGCTTATGAGCAGAGAGAACACATATGTGGCTCGTTGCTCAACAACCTTTAATTCTTGATGTGCTAGGTAAATAAATGCACATTTCACTTCACATCTGATTTATCATCATCATCACCACCAACAGCGCCACCACTGCTACCTGCTACCACCACCCTATGATCTCGACCCTCCATCTTATCATCTACAGCACCCATTCGTACCATGCTCCCCACTACTGGAAACGGCTTCGTTAATTGCTTCCCATCTCGAGGCGGTGAAAACACCACCGGCAGATAATGCTCCATCTCACACGGGAACTTTGAGTTCTTAAAATGCTCTTTCAAAGCTTCCAAACCCTTTAAATAAAAATGTAAATATAAATTTTTGTTTTATCATCGTATAATAATGTACTACATAATAATACTCAAATATAGTAATAATGTACCTGAACTCTAGCGTAGGTAAGGTGGCAGACTTTTCTGGAGTTAAAAACCTCCCAACGTTGCTGTTGAAAGGCCTTGTAGAACCTTAGAGTAGCTTCCGGAGATGTCATATTCACGAACCCGTATCCCACGTTGCACTTGTTCCTGTCCAATTATATATCACGGAATTGCCATTGAGTGCATTGGAGAGAGACACACAAAATAATGGCATTGCACAAGAAACATGATGAAAAACAAACACTGCTTACTTGAAATCTATAGGAAGATATACAAAGTCATAGGAAGATAGAGGCTTGTCATCGCCGTCGCCTATCTGATCGTTGCAGCGTATACAGTGGTTGTCCAACATGTTCAAGAGTAGCTTCTGACTATATCCACTCAATATAATAATAATTAAGAAAGCATGTCTATAGGATTGGCACTTTCTTTTGTCTCTTTCTAAACTTTTGTAGTATTTCAATGAGGGTAAGAAAGTAATATTATTTTAAAAAAAACAGACAGAATATGTTTTTATTAAATTATACAAAAAGACGGACCTGTACTTGTTGGGTATGTTTTTGATCATGAGAGTAGTTCTAGAATCGGATTCAACAATGGCATCTTCTTTGATTATATAACGAGTCTCATTCTTATAAGGCTGTTTCCCCTTCCAATTCCATGGTCTTTCCCCAATGAATTCCCTACCAAAATTCCTCCTAGGAGAATAATTGTTTTCATCCCCATTCAAACTATTTGAACTCATTGAACCAGTGTTGAAATTCTTGTGAGAGAATTGCGGTGGACCGTAACGACGGGGCGGCGAGGGAGGTGGAGGAGGAGGAAAGTTGAAATGAAATGGCTTAGTGGAGATATAGGCATTAGGATTCGGATTAGTTGAATGGAAGAATCTTCTTCCGTAACCACCTGGTTTACTAAATTCAATAGCAATTGATTTTCCTTGGAATTCTTTTCCATTCATTTCTTTCAAAGCTTTGCCAGCATCTCTTATGTCGAAAAACTCGACGAATCTTTGACCCTTTTTCTTCCCTGGATTTTCCCTCACTTCCTTTATGGCTCCTATAATTAAAAAGTGGACACACATAAACACACAAAAAGAACGAGATAGAGACATGTCGTATTGAGATTTTATTGTTTTATATTTTAAAAACACTCTACTTTCAGATCTCACTTCTGAAGCAAAAAGTGAAAAAATAAATTAATTAAAAATTGAAAAGATAAATTAAATAAGTGAATACCAAAAGGCTCGAAAACTTGTCGTAGTTTTTCAGGTGAAACGTCGTCGTCTAAGTTGAAAACGACGAGGGTTCCTTGATTCTGAATATCAGAGAAGACGTAGTGAGCCCAGAGTGGCACACCGGCGACGAGCCCCGACGGGGGAGGTGGTGGAGCGGGATGATATTGGGGCTGAGACATTGGGTTAAAAAACGAAACACAGTGGACGTGGTGAGTGCGAATGGCGGTGAACGCCGCCTGTGCGTGTCTGAGGTCGTAGAAATGAGCCGTCACGATTCCGTAACGGAAGGAATCGGTTTGGATAGCTCTGACTTCACCAAAGGCTTGGAGATCTTTCCGGAGGTCGGATTCAGTAGTGGGAGGGACGGGGCTGAGGAGGACGGAACGGGTGGGTAAGGTGGAGAGGTTCGGCGGAGGTGTGACGGCGAAGTGAGGGTAGGGATAGGGAACTCCGACGGCGACGGAGAGAGGAACGGGATTTGTTGGGGTGAACTCTTGAGCCGTAGGGTTTAAGTTTCGTGGGTAAGGAACATTGATACCGGTTTCTCCCATGTTTGTGGTTAATAGAGGGGAATGAAAGACTGGTTTATGTTTATGTTATTGTTTTTGTTTTGTCTGTGAGAGACAGTGAGTGAGTGTGAAAGAGTGAAAATGAAAAGGGGAAGAAACAGAGGAGGGACAGGAAGACGGGAGAAGGAGAGACAAGAAAGAAGAAATGAATAGGAGTGGGCTGTTTTCCTCCTTCTTATTAATTTTCTAAATACTTTCCCTTCTCCAACAAATATGCTCACTCTTCTTCTCCCCCTCCTCTATTTTTTATTTCGAGCTTTCTTTAGAAATATCTAAGCTATTTGATTTTAATCTAACGATTAATGTGATTAATGTGCTTGTGATTTTGTAATGTTACACTACATCTAATTTTAATCTTAATTTGCTCGCACGCACACATTTTGGTCGTTGATTAAAATTACTATATATTGAATTTTCATTAAATAATTGAGATACATGGAATTTAATACATTGACACTACACTACATACTGTTCGAGAAGAATTATATTAGTTTATATTTTTTAAATAGGTAATATTTTAGAAATTAATATGTTTTGACTTTATTATTCCGAATTTAGTTGTATTAAATTTTTAATTTTTTTTTAATTAATTAAAATAACTATTTATTATGTTTTAATAAAGAAAATAACAACTTATTCATGAATAAAATAGCTGTCAACAACCCATTAAATTATGAAAAGTTAAAAAAACTTACAATGAATCAAACAAACTTGAACTTTGTATAATTCTACTCATTTAATATATATATATATATATATATATATATATATATATATATATATATATATATATATATATATATATATATATATATATATATATATATATATATATATATATATATATATATATATATATATATATATATATATATATATATATATATATATATATATATATATATATATATATATATATATATATATATATATATATATATATATATATATATATATATATATATATATATATATATATATATATATATATATATATATATATATATATATATATATATATATATATATATATATATATAGATTTTATTTATAAAATTATTTATATATTTTAATTTTATAAAAAACAATATAAATTTGAGCGTAAGAGCAAAAATATGAAATATAATGTTGAACATAACATACAAAATTATTCATTTTTTGTTATAAATATTTTTTTAGATAATTATTATTTAAAAACTAACATTCATAGTTGAAAATGTCATAAAGATCATGTAAAAAATAATAAAAATATATAGCATTTTATTTGTTTACAAAACCACCTTTAAAAACGTACAAAACAAATTACTGCATATAGTCTAAATTTATTTTCATTTTAAATAAATATTATTATGATTAAATTGTGATTTAATAAAATCTATATTTGTTTTGTCTTGATTAAACTATGAAAAATTTACACAAAATTTTTAAAAACTTAAACGATTTTAATTGTTTATAAAAAAAAAACTTGAATTCAACCTCTATTATAATAAAATATTATATGTTAAAAAAAATTAAGATGTAATATTGCATTTATTGCTTGAAATAACTATTGTTTGTGACAATATTTTGCATTATAGATATTATTTTAATATGAAATTTGTGTCATATAAAAATTAAAAATAATGTCTATATATAATTTTTATGAATACTTTAAGAATCAATAAAATTATTTAATGATCATATTATTGTTCAAAGATGACTATTTAGTTAAATTCAACATTTAAAAATCTTACATTTGACAAAAATCTTGTCAAATTTACTATTAATCTCGCTAGAGAATATATATATATATATATATATATATATATATATATATATATATATATATATATATATATATATATATATATCCATTTTTCCTTATGGATAATGTTATGTGTATTAGGGATAAAGTTAAAAAACTTACTTATAAAAAAATTTGTATCGGAAAAACCAATAAACACATTAATTTGTATTTTTATTAAAATAAATGAATAATTTTTAAAATACTATTTTTTCATTTAATTTTTAATATATGTGCTTAAGACTAACATGTGTCGTTACGACACAAGTTTGCATAACCTTTCTCCTTTCTTGTGTGTCAATACTCATATATAGATGCATCCGAAAGATTTGAAAAGTTATATTTGTTAATAAATTTGATTATTATGACAAATATAAATTATACTTTCTTTTAGTTGAGTTTTCAATTTTTTTTAATTAATTTTTTTTATCATTTGATTTTGAATATATTTAAATAATTTAAAACTGATGTAGTGAAATAGAACAAAATAAAATAGAATTGAACAGAATGAAATGAAATAAAATATAAATTTTATTCTATTATTTAGATATTTTAAGATACAATAGAACTGATATCTCATTTCAGTATTTAGAAATTGGACGGAGAAAACATTAAAATTTTGTATTCCATTTTATCCTTTATTTCAAAAACATAAATATGAATATGAATAATAAAAGGGAAATTTAGAGGATAAATTTGTAATTATATTATTAATTTATTTCATTTTATTGGATATACTCTAATTTGAGTGGAATAAAAAGTACTTAAAATAATAATATTAGATGAAATGAGTTATATCACATTTTACTAATTTTTTTGTAAAAACTAAATAATGAAACATAACATCATTCCACTTTATTTTATCTTTTCCATCAATCTAAATAAAACCTTGAATTATCAAATGAATTAAGATTGAGTTTGAACTAACGAGTGAAACCAAATTGTTTAAATTGATCTAATTCTAATTGAATTGAATTAAATTGAACTAAGGTTGATTAAACTTGATGCATTTCTAAGTTAAGAATTGTGGATTTCAATTCACACTCTAATATATCAAATGTATTTTCAGCTATTGTTTGAAATGAGAAATTACTCCCTCGGTAACAATTTATAAGTAAAACATTGTATTTTTCTTGTTTCAATTTATAAGTTAAAAACATCAACATTACTCTAATTAAAAATTTTATTTTAAAAAGTTCATCTTTTTCAAATTAAAATAAAATAAAAATTACATTTAATTTGACTTTTCTCTCTTTTTTTCTCTAACAATTAATTAAAATTTTTACGTTTTTCCATAAAACATATTTCAAAATAGATTTAAAATTTAAACTTTCTTAATAAATATGAAATATTATAGGTTTATAAATTTTTACGGACATAGTATTAAAATAATGTTATTAAACTATTTACTTTTTGTGTACAATATTATCTTATTCTTAAATAAATTACTAATAATAATAAATAAATAAATGTAATAAAATTAATAAAATAATATAATTGATCACTATAGTATTACCTTTGTCATATATTCTTATTTATAATTAAAACTTATAATATAATAATAATAATAATAATAATAATAATAATAATAATTATTATTATTATTATTATTATTATTATTATTATTATTATTATTATTATTATTATTATTATTATTATTATTATGGTTCATTAGAATGATTGTGAGTTTTTGATTTTATAAGTTAATATCAAAATTAAGATCTGTTTACCTGTATGTTAGTTGATTTTATATTGAATTTTAAAATACTTTTCTATTAAAATTCAACAACAAAAAAGTAGGAAGTGTAGTATGAGATTCTAAGGGCGTGCATGTGGTATGGTATCAGGGAGGTAAATGTAGAGGGTAAATCTATTTTCGAGTTTTTGTCATCTTCTGATCTTACTATAGTTAAATATTTGATTTTAGGAAAAGAGATGATGAATTTTTCACATATAAGAGTGGGGTGACATGTTTTCATATGGACTTCTTTCTCACTAAGAAGGCAAATAGGAAGATTCTCTTAGATTGTAAAATTATTTGGAAGTGAGCTTGAGTATCTAACATAAAGTATTGGTTATGTATGTAAGAATCAAGAGAGGAGCAAATATAAGAAGTTAAGTGGGAGCCCCACATATCAAGTGGTGGCGTTTAAAGTGTGAAAGTAAGGAAATCTCAAACACAAAATCTTCGAGGGACAGTTTAGACAACCACATGGTAGTGCAAATGATATATGGAATAAGATTTCCCAAGAGATTAGAAAAGTAGGCAAAGAAATGTTTGGATAATCAAGAAATATTGGATCTAAGGATAAAGAACCGTGGTGGTGGAATGAAAGTGTTCATATTAAAGTTAGAGTAAAAATATTGTTTTAAAGAATGGTCTAGGTGAAAAAATGTTGAAACTTGAAAAAAATAGAGGAAGGCTAAGAATGAGACTATGTAGGTGGTGAGTGAAGCAAGAACCTAAAATTTATATAAATTATATCAATCTTTAGGAACTAATAAGGGAGAAAAATCTATATATAGATTTGCTAAGGAAAGAGAAATAAAGACAATAGATTTAGATCTAGTGAAATTTATTAAAGATGAAGAAGGCATAACTTTCATTCAGGAAAATAATATAAAGGATGGGTGGAAGACATATTTATGAAAGATACGATATCTCAGTGAACTCTAGAAAACTCGATATTAGATAAGAAGATCGGAACTATACTTACTATTGTCGTATTCATAAACAATAGGTAAAAGAAGCGTTGAAAAGGTTGAGCAACATTAAAGCAGTTGGACCAGACAACAAACCTATTGAAAAGTGGACAACTTATGGAGATAGAGGCATTGAGTGGCTCGCCAAACTCTTTAAGAAAATTATGAGGTCAAAGCATATTTTGTATGAATGGAAAAGAAATACTTTAGTTTCAATCTATAAGAACAATGAGATATAAAAAAATTTTCAAATTATATAGGGATTAAACTTATGAGTCATACTTAAAGTTGTGGGAAAGAGTGATTGAACAAATACTAAGAAAAGAGATTTTTGATTGGACTAAGACTGAGAAAAGAGACTGAAGTCACAAAGAATCAATTTGGTTTTATGCTTGGGAGGTCGACCATGAAAGAAATCTATCTACTACGACGTGTGATGGAGCAGTATCAGACGAAACAACAAGACTTGTACTTAATTTGTATTGACATGGAGAAG